CACTCACTCACTCACTCACTCACTCACTCACTCACTCACTCACTCACTGCCATCCAGTCGATAGTGACCCGAGACGACAGAGCAGAACTGCCCCAGTGGGTTTCCGAACTCTTTACAGAAGTAGACAAACCCATCTTTCTCCCAAGGAGAGCCTGATGGTTTTGAACTACCAACCCTGTGGTTAGCAGCCCAATGCATGACCTCTATGCCACCAGGGCTCCCTGTAAGGATCGCAGCCTAGAAAACCCTCCATGGCGGTTCTCCTGTGCACATGGAGTCACCATGATGGCAGCCACCAAGGACAACATCATCATGACATCCATGCGTCTTCCCACAGCAGAATCGCCATGTGGCAGGGAAAGGACCAGGCGTGGCATCTGGAGAGCTGTCACCAAACCCTGGCTTTTCTTGGGCTCCTCCTGTTTCATTTCCGTTTTCGCAACTGTCTCCTGAGCTCCGCGAAGAGACCCAGCTTGCCTGGGTTATTGGATGAAGTGCGCCCACGTGTGTCAGGGAATTCTGGACGTTGTAGAGCACTAACTTCTTAGACCTTTGTTTCAGAACTGCCCTCTCCACTCCCTTCCACCTACCTCCGTTTCTGGAAATTGGTGGTGTTCCTGGGGGCGTGGGGGAGGTCAGTCGGTCTTTTTATGGTTTGTCTTCTCTGTCTTCCCCAGTGTTAACCACTTATTCTGAGACATTTATTTTCTGCCATTTTGGACCCTTAGCATTGGCTTTCTAGCTTTTGCTTTTTACCAAGCTTGGCTTTATTGTTTTGGGGTTGTTGTTGTTTATAACTTTCTTTTGCTGTTGTTGCAATTATGCACAACACAACAGGTCAAGCCTCTACAAATCCCATTTAGTGACACTGACCTGGCTTTGCATCTGATTTCTCCAATGAGAAAACACACCCATTGCTGCCGCGTCAGTTCTGCCCCATTGGGTTCAAAAGCTGCAAGCTTGACGGAGACGGGACACCGCAGCTCTCTCCCACTAATCCCTCAGTTAGCAGCTGAGCACCTTCACCACAGCACCCCCAGAGCTCCAATTTCTCCAGTTCCTGTTATTTATTTCATGATAACTAGGAACTAGGTCGCTTCCTAGGTGCTGTATATGCATCATTCTATTTCATTACCCCTCCACCATTTAAATTTTTTTTAAAAATTGAGGTTCAATTTTAAAAATTTTAAAAATTGAGGCTCAATTCCATTCAACAAACAGAGCGTAGGTACCTACTATGTGCCACGCACTGCACTTAAAGTGCCAACTGCGAATGCTCTCCATGCCTCGGGGCAGAAAGACCAAGGACTACAGGGAGGTAAGTGGCCAGTCATAACTGCGATCCACTAGGCAGCTGTGTGTTCTAGGCACACTATATTAGGGGCTTTATCAGTCCTGAGCCGCAGCTTTGGGGCTGGGGGACGAAAACCCATGAGGACCAGGCTAGGAGCTCAGAGATGGGACGTGGGAAGACTAGGGGAAATATGGGGACAGAGGAGTGTGTGAACGCCGAAGTTGTTCTCCAGTTGACAGGGAATGTGGACTAATGGATTGATGCCACTTTAGTTGTCACCTGTTAGAGATGTCCTTTCCAAGAGGGCTGTGTCATGTTGTCCAGAGAACACCAGGCCTGGCCTTCTGCCGCGGTGCCGCCCTGAGACCCTGGAAAAGTCCTTTAAATGCTCTGCATCTCAATCTCCTTTGCTGCCGAATGGGAACCTTTGACTAGCTGATCTCTGAACATCCTTCCCTGTGTCTTGGTTTTCTATGAGGGGGCTTCAGAAAGTTCATGGAAAGATTTCATTATCCTTTAATTCCATTTTTTCATGAACTTTTTGAGCCCCCCATCCCCACCCCATTACACATCATGTCAGGAGAGACCAGTCCCAGGAAAAGGACATCACGCTTGGTAGAGTGGCGGGGCAGGAAAAAAGAGGAAGATGTGGCTAAGGATGGGCACAGAGGCTGTGACAACGGGCTCGGGCACAGGAACAGTGGCGAGGCTGGTGCGGGGCTGGGCAGTGTTTCCTTCTGTTATGCACAGGGTTGCTGTGGGTCAGAACCGATTCGAGGGCACATAACAACAACGTTACCAATCAAACCACAAGAAAGCCAATTCCCTGCCACTGAGTGCATTCCAACCTGGACCAACC